TCTTCTTCTTCGTCGTGGTCTTCTTGCAGGTGCGCGGCGGCTTCCTCAACCTCAGGTCCGCTATGGCGGACTGTCACCTTCGGCGGCCACCTCGGCTATGGCGCATGAGGTCCTGCATACGACGGCGCGCATGGAATAGCGGGTACCAGCTCCGATACCAATGCAATCAGACTCGTCCTATTCACACTTTTCATGTATGTAAACAGCAGCACAGCACACTGGCGACATGCGCCCACTCAGAACTCAGAGATATGGCTTCCTGATACGAGTCACTTTCAACTGGCTATGGCGACTTAGCGCCCAAACAACTCATTGTTCACACACTGGATCACCCTGGATATCCCACACACGTCACTCTGAACACTCACACAACACACGCACACTTCCCTCTAACTACAGCTATGGCATCTATGGCTGCCCCTACCCTATCGCTATGGCTGTAATTCGTCTCTCTCGCCCACTTCTACTTCGGGCTCACTGCAAACCTCCTTGCACAAGACGCTGAGACAGCGCTTCCGCATGGCTCACGCAGGAATGAATCAATGGCTGGGCGCTGCCTCTTGATTTATACTTCTGCAGGTCGTTGGTCTGGCCCATTTCCCTTGCCCAAAGTGCACACAGTCCCGTGCGGTACTTGCTGGACTGACTGGGAACTGGGATTGTTGACTCAGCAGGGTAGACTTCTACCACTTGACCACTTGCCTCTGCTTAAACATGGGCAACTTCGAAAGGCCACTACTGGGACCTTCCGGAAGGCCGTAGACTTGGCCTTGCGTGACTGTAGCAGCTACGATTCTGACCCTTCTGGACTGTAGCGGCTACGACCTTGACCTTTCAAGAAAACTACAGCTACGATGTCTAGACCTGACTAAGACTCCTATCCGACAGGTCTACAGATCGAACCCATGCTACCTATGGACCCTACGACAACCTATCAGCTATTACAAATACACAGGTCGCGGGTTCAATTTTACGGGTCAACACAGGTACTGTACACAGGTAAGGTTGGGGTCTAGGGATCGAACCCTGGGGTCTGCAGCAGCCACTGCTAACTGGTGAATACCGTTTCATCAGGAAGGCCCAACATAGAATGATAGAGCAGGCCAATAAGCACCGTCGCCCATCATAGTTCCAAGTAGGCGACTTAGTCTGGGTCAAGTCAAAAGAGTTCATTCCTGAGGAGAACATCTCACAAAAACTGTTACTTGCTTACAGAGGACCGTGGCCAGTTCTAGAAGTTAAGGGCAGAGAGGATGGACTGTCCTACACAATAGAGATTCAGGCGCACCTCCACACCTACCCAGTTTTCCATGCCTCAAAGGTGCTGCTTTGTACCACAAGTCAACAGTTTCCATCACGGAGATCCATGATCCCTCCGGACATGGATGGAAGGTATGACATTGAAGGCATCGTAGGTGAAAATGTCTTCAGAACCGGAGGCAGGGGTCGTCCACAAAAACAGTACAAAGTTAGATTTGCCTATCAAGAACCGGAAGACCGCTGGTTCACCCGAACAGAGCTTCTAGAGACCGCTCCCGATATAGTCCAAGCCTACGAGAGAGATAAAAAAGGGAAAGGTCCTGCCTTGGACTGAAGTATTTTCGGAGGACCTCGAATTTAGGCCGGCGGGAGTGAAACGGTTTTTCACCTTGGCAGTAACAGATGCAGATCCCAGGGATCKATCCCTAGACCTCACCTCACCAGTGTACAGTACCTCTGTGTGTTTGAACCCGTGACCTGCGTTTTAGGAGTCAGTTGTTGCATGTCGTAGGTCTGTGTAGTTGTAGGGGTTCGATCTGTAGATCTGTCGAGTAGGGGCATAGTTGTGTAGAGGCCGTAGCTGTAGTAATTTTGAAAGGTCAAGGTCGTAGCTGCTACAGTCCTGAAAGGTCAAGGTCGTAGCTGCTACAGTCCCGAGAGGCCAAGTCGACAGACTTCCGGAAGGTCCGGAAGTGTCCTTTTGAGTTTCCCTCACGTTACCCACAGCAGACCAGAGGCAAGTGGGCAAGTGGTGAGTCCAACTTCGCTTAGTCAGCGGTACCCAGTTCCAGTCTCACTTTGTACAGTCAGCAAGTACTATGAGGGATTGTGTGCACCGTGGGCCCGGTGGAAAGGGGCAGGCCAGCGACTTACAGAAGTATAAATCAAGAGGCAGTGTCCAGCCATTCATTCGTTCTGAGCCATGCGGAAGCGCTGCCCTAGCGTCTTGTGCAAGGTGGTCTGCAGATGCCCGAGGACGAAGTGGGCCGAAGGAGGATAGGGTACCCATAGCTAGTAGGGGTTAGGCGGCCATAGCCGCTGTAGCTTGGAGGCAGAGTTTAGTGTGTGTGTGTTAGTGGCAGGAGTGTATGTGCGTGGGATATTCAGGGGGATGCGAACAATGGTGTTGGACACAGTGACGAGAGCTGGGACTTACAGGCGCTGATGCGCCATAGCCTGTTGAAGCGAGTTTGTATCTGAACTGTGTTCTCTGTTCCCATATCTCTGAACTTTGAGTGGGCGCTTGGCGGCAGTGTGAATTGCCATCTGTCTGCATGTA